ATAATACCAAGTATCAGCTGATTATAATTTCAGTTTGATTGCATCAACTGATTTTGACCAAAGGACAAGCTAATAAAAAGACACCAGCATAACATATGAATGTTCTTTTTAACAATATACTTGAGGTGAAAAAAAAATCTTTGTAATAATCTTAAAAAAAAATACAAAATAACAAGCAAAATAAAGAATTAATTTTCCAATGGTTTTTTGTTGCTAAAAATACAAATTTGGTGATGTTGGTAGAAAAGACCTTTTTAGTTTTCTTTTTGTAATTTGTGATGTTTATGTTGGGGAGTGTTTTTGGGTTTTTTTGAAGAGTGGGATTACCCTTCCTTCAAATCTGCCCTCAGTTACGTAATATGAAATCCTTTATTGTCAATTTTAGTATTGGAAAACAATATCTTTATTTATCCTTGAGACTGAAAATCTTAAAATCTGTGTTATATCAAATGAAGCTACCAAATCTTTTAACAGAGACATGACCTTTTATCAGGTAATTTTAAAAATTATTTCAAGTAAGTCTTCATAAAAACTTTACTGTAAATAAAACCACAAACTGCAGCATTTCCAGCTCTCCATATAAAAATTCATGCTTTATTTTTGTTGGTAATCTATTTCTCAAAATCTGTATTCACATTTCAAAGCATTTTCAGGGTCAAGGCTTCATAAAAGGTAGTTGATACATGCAGGAAAGATGAAAGGTAAAATATTAATGAATGGAAAAGCAATATTTAAAAATACGAACTCAAATCCTGGAGCAAGGTTTTGGGTTTAGGTTTTCTGCTCTCTATAATGTCTTTTATTTTGTTTTTCTAATTATGAAAATTTTATTTCACAGCCTTTTTTATTGTCTGATTTCCTATTTAGTAGCAAAATGTGTAAACATTATTCATCTGAACAGACTTATTGAGAGCAAGATGGGAATTAGTGATGCATATAATTACTCGCGTACAATTGTAGTATGATGGTATTCAATTAGAAAAATCACAGGAGTAAGCTATACTCTTACAAGTTTTATAAAATAGCTGGCAGCTTTTTCTACAAGCAACACAGCAAATTAATTAAATTAATATTGCATATTTTCTCAAATAGTATGTAGCACATTAAAGAGCCATAGCTCTGAAGTTTAGGTTGCTGTTTATAATGTCTTTTAATGTCATCAATTTGTTTATCTTTCAGAACTAATTTTGGTGCTATTTTTTTATCTACAATTTGATATGTTTTGTCTCAGAAAAAAATGTACTAAATTCTTTATTTTAAAAAACCTAAAAAACAAAAATATACATGCTCTTTCCTTGTCTTGCTTTAGAACTTAGGATGGATTAGTTTTTTAAAAATCCTAAATCATGGATTCATAGAATCATTTAGGTTAGAAAAAGCCTCATAAGGTCATGGAGTCCAACCATTAACCCTGCACTGCCAAGTCCGCCAATAAACCATGCCATTGAATGTCATGGCTGCACAACTTTTAGCTGCCTGTACATCCAGGCAGGATGACTCAACCACTTCCCTGAGTAGTCTCTTCTAAAGTTTGAACACCATTAGAGTGAAAAAATTTCTCCTAAATATTGTGTGGAAAGAAAAACTGCAGTTGCGTTTTTTGGCAATGGAATACTCTGAAGATGATGATGAGGCACAGAACAGCTCCAGACCCATAGGGAGCAACCAGGCCCCTGAGCTTGACTTACTGACTACCATCATGGACAAAACAGACTTAACTTATGGAAAATTAATTTAATTTATTGTAAATTAAGAATACAGGAAGATTTAATTAAGGAAGTTTTTTAGTGTTTTTTTCAAAATTCTATATTCTACTGCTGAAATTAAAAATTTTCTTTAATTTTCTTTCTAAAATATTTTCTTTCTAAAATTTTCTTTCTAAAATATCCAACAATGTTATGAAGAGGAGAAAGAAATGTTGCTCAGAATTATATATATTTAGAAATATTCACTAAAGCTGTACATTCTGTATGATCTCATATATCACACATGTAAATCTACACTAAACCATTTTTGCTCTGTCTTACTCAAATATATTCAAGTTTGTCAGTATATTTTCAGAAAATAAAACACAGGAAATTCATAAATATTGATAATCTGATGAGCAATGTGTTGGGCACTTGGAATATATATGAGGTTAGAGTTCTTCTAGGTGAATTTCTTACCCTAGAGTTGATATATCCTCATGACGACAAGGGAGCCACTGTTGCCATTTTTAGTGTTCTGAGGAGACACTTGCCAGTGCCAAAGGAACATTTGACGTGAGGATCTGTGAAATTATTGATAACTGGGAAATACATGAATAATAAACAGGCTACCCCTTACCGAGTGACCTGCTCACCCTGACACTGCCTACTAAATCTGAAGGCCTGAATTAATGGTCTATCCAAAATCTTTATCCAGGAGGTAGATTTCTTGATAGATAACATTCTCCCTTGGCCTTTGAGGTCTCTTTAGAGTACATCTTATGAATTTAATGCAAGCACATACGGATAGGATCTGAGTATTCACAAAGCTGTCAAGTTCTCACTGGCTGTCTCTAAAATGTTTATGGAGCTTGCACAAAGTAAACTAAACTTACCCAGTAATGCTGCAGGAACCATGCTAACTGCACTCACTCTGCCCTCTCAGACATGTCTGCCACAGGGTGTCATCATGCTTTACTCACATTAAACCTTTTTCTCAGCTTCATTCATGAGGTCAATGCAAGCTAATATCTCTGCACAATGTTCACATCCTTTAAAAATTTCAGAGCCAAATTCATTGAAAATCACTGGGACATTGATCAAGAATCATGCAGCCCTTTCAAAAATTAAACTTACTTTCTGTTTGCCTGTTGTTCAGGATGAGAATAAGAAGCTTCTGATCTGTCAGAATATTTTGGTCACCTTTTGTATAGAAAAATTTCAGCAGCATCAGCAAAATTCAACATGAGAAGCAAAAAAATCTTTCTTTTATGAGCATTTTATGCAACAAGACAATCAAGATTGGTCAATGATTTACATTAAAACTGAAATGGAAACGGTTTGCAATCCATTTTATTACTGAGACAAAAGTTGCTCTGATGAAGTCAGTAACACTGCACACTCCCTCCACAGGCAATAAACCTGAACTAGGGATTAATTGGGCCTTTAATTTTTATTCAGTAGAATTTATTTTCCTCTATTTTTTTCCCTAGAAAATAGATCTACAATAATTTTCAGAAATAGGAATTTTGCAATTTGATACAAGTACTGATAGATTATTCCATAGCAAATTCTATTTCTTCTTTCAGTTTGTAAACATGAAAAATCATTTAGCTGATTGCGTTCTCTGGGTGACAGTCTCCCCTCAAAATGATTCTTTTTGTTACAAAATATATGTTTATTTACTTAAATGTTGTTATCAAAAAACTGTGGTTTAAAAATCTTTTTAACATATTATTACTATTACTATTATCCAAGGTTCACAACAGTTTTGTATTTAAAAGAAACTTAGTCAACATTTATCTGTCACATGTAATGAAATAAAATGTAGTCACACAGAAAGATATTTAAATGATTAAGTAACAATAAAGTGAAAATGCAAAGGTTTTTTTAATTTGCTCATTTGGTTTATCACTAAAGAAAAAGTATTTTATGTATGCACCAAGTCTCTTTGAAAATTGATATTTGTACTACTTTGGATAAACCATAAATCTGTTAATACATAGCTAACATATATACATTTATGAATGCTACTAGCTTATATCAGAGTTGTGGAACTCACTGTTGCAAGTTTCACATTCTGAACACTGAATAAGACTTTGGAATACAACGTCAAATAATAATGCAGTTTGTTTTTTAATCAACAGCATTAAATCTCCTCTCCTTTTCCCTTTCTATCTCACAGCAAATTTTAGTAAAGAAATCATAGATGATAATGTGGCAAAATCCAAAGTTCATGTTAAATTATGATTTGTTTAAGGTGCCTCTAGGCTAAACCCACTCATTATTGAGAGAGTGGAAATGAATTCTCCCAAAATTAACATTTAAGGCTCAGGATGGGTTATTGGTATTCTCTTTTTCAGTGGCATCTCTGAGATCTGAAATTAAATCCTGCCTTTCCTCAATGGCACAATGGTACAATGGCAACTAAGATGTGATAATTTTATTCATTTTGGTAGTGACTTAAGAAAAACTGAATGGTCATTTGTAAAGTACTGTAACTTAAAAAAAAAATAGCTTAGGCTTGAGATATCCTTCTGTTTTTCTGGAAAATTGATGACATTTTTTTTACTGTGGGAAACTTGATATAAACTTTTTTTAGAAGACAATACATGAGGAAATACTTCTCAATTTAGACACAACTACATGTTTTGATGGACTTTAAAAAAATGTTGTAAGCTGCATGAGGTCTTCACTTTTGATAGCAGGTCTATAAAAGACTACAACTCAGATATTAAAATAAGTGTAGTTCTTATAAAGGTGATATTTCCGATATTTTATTTAAATATTGGTCAGTTAATGAGCCACTGCACCCAGAACTTTAACCACAAAAGAATGTCTCAAGGTTGATAACTAAATTCAAGCTGTAGCTCTTCACAGTCATAGCTAAGTTGCCACCTATTCCTGAAAGCTCCTGAGATAAATAGATGTCATTTTCTTTTTCCAAAACTTTGTATCCTGATATGCTTGAAAGACTTCAGTTTTTACAACATTAGACAGCCCATGGTCTTTTTGATATTCAAACTTTCCCATCAAACACAAGGTAGATATGATGTCCCCTTTAAATAATATCTCAATAAGTCAGGAAAAGATTAATTTAGCTAAATTGAAGATAGCTCAGACCAAAGATTAATTTTCTCTAGTGTCCAAAGAGATCCAAGTCCTTATCTATCATCTGAGCATGACAGTGTCCTGCCTCCCAACACACTGTAGACAGCAGTTAAACATAATTTCTAGAAACTCCATGTCTTTAGAACTGCTGGAGTTAGGGGAAAATGAAATTTTTAAGACAGCAGTGTTTTGGGGTGTCAGTAAAATGTATTCTGAGAACCAGCTCTGTGTTTTGAGCCTCTCAAAATTTCTGAGTAGAATGTAATTAGGTAATTACTTTAAACAATTAATTCTAATTAGTCAACCAAAATTAATTACAACACACCTCCAAGTGTCATATTTATTAATGGACAGTTTGTTTTGATATGTCACTGGTACTTTTCTTTAAATCTCGTGCTCATTTCCAGACAGGGCTACTCTAGAAGGTATTATACTAATAATATATTTAACAAGGGGAAATATTTTTGCTCTGGTGACAAATGCTGAAAGGCTGTGATGCTCAGAATATTGATACCAACAACTTGTAGTTTTATTATTTGAAAGGATATAAAAAAGCCAGCTAAAAGATGGCATTCTCCTGCATTGAATGCTGTATAAGAATGTCAATTAACTATGAAAAGTATAGGACTTTCATTTCTATCTCTAGGACCAGATTCTTGCATATGTTGTTGTTTTAAAGTTCGAAGTCCCTATTAGTTAGTCTGGGAAATTCACTTTTCTTTAACTTTCAGTTGATATCACCAAGCTTGGGCAAATCCAGGACTGTTTAAAGTGACAATGTGATTTTAATTTTATACTTTCTGTAATAAAACAAGTTTTTAATTAAATGGAAATAATGAAGATTTAAAATATCATGTAAAGTTTTTTTTTTTTTTCCAAATATCATGTACCATCTTTTCAGGGAGTCATGAATAGTATCCAAACTAACCATAGATGAAACTCTCTACATTTAAATGTTAAGCATTTAAATAGAGTCAATAGAGGCATTAATAGAGGGAAACTTTAAAACCCTGACTTGTCTCTCATTGAAAACAAACCCAGTGAAATAAAGATAAAAAAAGCTCAGGGTGCTTTATTTATTTTGGCATTTTTTTAGATCTGTTGTACATATTAATTATAAATTAGAGACACAGATAGGAAATGAAGGGTATAAATGTTTAAGAAGTCACAAATAATTGAAGTCCTTTAAGACTTCATCTTTCTTTAAAAGGATTCTGTTTCTCATTTTGTTTTGGAATGCTGAATTCTTGGACTCACAGGAAGGTTCTTTATAATGCAGGCATGTGACTTCATCTAATCAGCCTGGGTTGTTGTTTTCAGAAATATTTTAATAATAGCTTTATAGTTGATTTACTTGATTTAGGGAATTTATCTAAAGTAATGTCAAAAAATAAAATCACAACTATTGAGCATTTACTGGATTTATTATTAATAAATTAATTTCCTTGCCACTCAGGTATAGATCAAACAGATGGCTGAATCTAATGGTTTTCTGTTAAAGCATCTGTTTGCTAGTTCAATCTAGTCCAAAGGTCCTCCTCCTTCTGCAACTTTATGCATATATTAGCAATTTCTACATAGCAGTGAATTGAAATCATTCATGCTATGTATAAGCAAAGTTGTCTATTTTGGCAGTCATAAGAAAGTTAATTTAAAATAAAATAGAGATTCAAAATATTACATTCATCTAAAAATAGAAGGACAATTTATCTGTCTTAAACAAATATAATTAGATATACATTTGTAATAAAATTTAATCATTTTTAAAATTTTGTTTCTTTAGTTATAACTTTTCACCAGCCTAAATAGCACCTCCTAAGTCAATGGGGTGGGGGTGGGAATTCTTGGAATGATAGAAAATCAAACTTTGCAGTATCTTCTAGAAAAGGCTTGTCCTTTGAAGCATTTCCTCTATAATATTAATCACTGCTATTCTCGTAATTTGATTAAAGTCATTGGTTTTTATCTTACAAAGGCATAAGGGAGATCTTAGGCATAAAGGGAGTGTGAAAATGTACAGTAGAAAAAAAATTTTGTTCTAAACAATTTTGAAGAGAACTAGCACAGGACCAAACACTTTTAGAGGAATAAAATGGGTTAATAAAATGATTGCTTAAAGTAGAAAAAATAGATGGAAAACATTGTGTCTGTTCAGAGGGAAAGGGAAAGTGGGGGATGTTGCTAGATATGGGAAAAGAGTCAGTTAAAAAGAATCATGGTTAGTCAGTGATTTTTATGAGCTGCTTTTTTATACTTCCACACTCTTATTTCATGAAATAGAATATTTTCTTCCCTCAGGGATGAAAGCATTTTATATTTGTTGATGTTCTGCCTTTAAATTTGCAGCCAAAACCAACATTTTCTAATGGTAATGTATTTCTATTTAAAAGACATTTGCAGTAAAAAGTTGATTCTGGTCTGCTCATGTGCAATCCAGTCATTCTGTAATTGCTTCTATAGGCAATAT